TATATATATATATATGACTGTGGGTTGTATACAAACTATTGCAAACTCTTGTGCAAATCTGTCTTGCTATAAAGGAAAAGCAAAATCTGTATAACATTACTACTTGAATGCCTCTGTGACTGAACTTTTTTTTTCTTTTTAAATATAAACTTTTTTGTGAAAAGTATGCTCAATGTTTTTTTTTCCCCTTCCCCATTCCCTTGTAAATACATTATGTTCTATGTGACTTGGTTTGGAAATAGTTAACTGGTACTGTAATTTGCATTAAATAAAAAGTAGGTTAGCCTGGAAATGAAATTGAAATTCACAAGTGTGTGGTCTTTATTTCAGTACCTAGCCCTCATCTCCCTGCCTACTTTGCCACTGCAATGTAGTCACAATACCATCTCTACTCCTAATTAGGGAAACACGAATCTCTGTTGTAAAAGTCAAGATGTGAACACATCTGTTGTTCTTTGAAATGACCTTGCTCTGATGTAGAGACAGGAGGTGCAGCTTCCAGCTTGGAAACCTTTGGAACTGATGTAGAGGAAGCATTGCAGACACTACTTTGAAAAGAAAGAAAATCACCCTGGAAGGGACAGTTGTAAAAACATGTAAAAGCTGCTGTTTTTGGTTACTGTGTCCATGATTTGGTGTGGCTGTATTTTCTTTTAACTTTCATCCTATTAGTAACGGTCTTTGGGGGTCTCTGTAAAACATGAACACCGCAAACAGTGGGGCTGTACCTCGCACATAACCAACACCTGTTTTTGAGTCTGCTCATTTCCAATACTGGATAATGTATGTTAACATGTTATGTCTTAGTGCAAACAGAAGCACCATTTTTCAGGACTGGCTCATTGTCAGGCCTAAGGGTTAGATATAAGGTCATGTGACTGCTGCTTCAATAAAGACAAATTTATATTCGATAAAGTGTGGTCTTTTATTTACTGAGCTGTTGAGGGTGGGCTAGCTCTACTAACATCTTTAGAAAAAAGCTGAACAAGATGCCACATGCCTGTAATTCCAGCATGGACTGAAGGATCACTACAAGTCCAAGGTCAGCTTGGTCTGTAAAGCAGACCCTATTTCAAAAAGCAGATGGGGAAGAGGGCAACTGAACCAGTAGAAACAGCTGTAGGCTGAGCCTTTTGGTGTCATTGAAGTAGGGTGGTCTGGGATTCATTGTCATCCTGTTTAGGTCCTGCCTTACCAATTGGAGCTGGGATTAAATGTCCTGCCAAATATCCCTTTAACTTGGAATCCTGTAAGTTTCCTTGGTTTTAAGAGGGAGTGGTGGTGAGTTAAGGAAGCAGGTGGGTAGAAGTGAGAGCTTGTCATTTCCTTGCATCTCATAGCCCTCAGATGTTGGAGAGCCAAAGGTGTAAGAAGGAAAGCAACCAGGGAGAAACAGGCTGGTGTGGAAGCAGGATGCAGCTGATAAGTTGTCCGGAACTGGGAAGGGCTGGTTAATGGGGGAGGGAGAGTGGTTTGAGAGTGTTTTGTTGTTGTGTTTAAGCCTCTTTTTCTCACTCTGGGGTTTTCATGTGAAGATTTGCTGTTGATGTCAAGACTTTAGACAACATCTGGAGCACAGGAATGGAGACCACCGAGTATCCCTGACTGATGGGGCCAAAAGTATGCAGTGGCTCAAACAGATCTTCCCTGCACTTTGGAAACTATTCTTTCCTGAACAAGAAACTGGCCACAGAGATGCTAGACATAAATCTTGCTTCTACTTGCTCAGTAGCTGGGGGTGTGACCGTGGAAGAAATATGTTGGAGAGTAGGGAAGTTGGATTTCACCGAGTCTTAAGAACTTAACCAAAGTTACTGTAAAAGAGGTATCCTGTATATCCTCTCTGGTGCAGCTAACCTTAAATCTTAACCACTCTTGGAATAAGTTTATAGATAAGTTTATAGCCTGTATAAATCCTATGGACATGCCAATTTAATGTTTGGAGAACTGCCTGGGTATTTTAAAAATCAGCTGGGAGGAGGTGGTGTTAACCTACATCCCATCCTAATCTTTACCTCACTACCTAACCCATATATTGACGCAATCAGGCTTTTGAATGAATAACACATGAAGGTTACTTCCCAGGGGAAGGAGAGATGCATGTATTATATATGAATATAGTTGAATAAAACTTAGACTTCTAAATGAGAAATGTACTTCTAGCTATAACTACTGTCTTTAATTAGTCCAAATTGGGAGGAGAGGGCAAAAGTTATATTCATGAGTTTTCAGAGATGGGCTCAATTTTCTGTTTCTTTGCAGTAAATGGAAGCTTTCTCTGCCTCTAGAAATCGGGGAGGATGTAAGGGAACACACTTAGGTGTTCTGACGTACATTGATGATTTGATGTTCTTAAGGTTTGTCCTGCCTGTTGTAAGGTGGTTAAAGTTAAGCACTTCATAAAATTCAGTTACAGCTTAATTTGCAATCAAATACATATTTTAAACAGGTGACTATGTTTTAAATTATATATATTTTTATACAGAACAATCTAGCAAAACTAACAAGTAATTCATGTTTATGTTCTTATACCAGCAGACTTGTCAGATTTGTAAAGGATAATGTTAATTAGGAAATGTGTACACAAATATATGTGTATGGGTGGTTTTGTTGGTTAGGTTTTGTTTTCTTTTGAATGTATCTCACTATGTAACCCTTGCTGGCCTCAAACTCACAAGATCTGCCTGCCTCTGCCTCCAAGTGCTGGGATTAAAAGTGTGTGCCACCATGCCTGGTGAAAGAGGGAGTGTTTTGGTTTTGCTTGTTCACCTTCAGCTCAGGATGTCCTGAACACTCTTCTTGACTCTGTCCCTCCACTGAGATTGCAAATGGGTACCTCCATGCCTGGCTCTGTATATATTTTTATTTCTTTTCTCACATTTTCTTCCCTAGAAAGATAAAAGATATTTTACATCTCTATTCAAAAATTCATTATTGAAGTTCCTCTTATCCTGATTTGAATTTGAACCCAGGAACACATTTGCTAAACTTTGTTTTTTGTTTTTTGGTGGGGTTTTTTTTGGCATTTTGAACTCAGTGAGTTCAAGGCTAGCCTCGTCTACATAGTTTCAAGCCAGCTGGGGCTACAGGGAGTTCCTGTCTCAAAAAGACCAAAAAAGCTGGGTGTGGTAGTGCACGCCTTTAATCCCAGCACTTGGGAGGCAGAGGCAGGTGGATCTCTGTGAGTTCGAGGCCAGCCTGATCTACACAGGGTATTTAGGCCAGCTGTGGCTACAGAGAGACCCTGTCTCAAAAAGAACAACAACAACAAAAAACCAACCTGACTCTTCGTATCCAAATTTAAGAGTGAACTGAAAACCTGTTTCTTCAGAGTTCTCTTGGAACTGTAAGGACTGGTTCTTTTATTAAAACAGTATAGCCAGCAAGAAATGGGGGAAAGTCAGTCAGACCCTCATTAGAGAATTTTGCCCTTTCTGATCCTAAACCTAGACCAACACACACAACCCATAATCAGATGTTAGATTTCTCTCATTGTTTGTAATGAGATAAGTGCTGTTTGCCACTGATACGTAAACAACATCTATACATTATTTTAAGTCAAGGGCAAGGAAGGGTCATGATGGGTAGAGACCATATGACCAGGTCATGAGAGGAGCACATAGTTCAGTGAACTTGTCTACATTAGAAATAGCTAACAAGAGTAACTTTTTGGTTACAAGTTTGTAAAAGTCATTTGTCCGGAGTATGCCTTATGTTGTCAGTCATTCATACAAAAGGGCAAAAGCAGTTTTATTCACAAATAATTATACACTTTAGCTTTGACAATCAAGGTGTACACAGCAGTTTTGATGCATGCAGATAGTTCTGCTCCTGCCTGTTTATTAATTACCTTATCATAGATCATCCCAGTGCTCCAGCCTCAGAAGCAAACCCAGGCTCCAGTCAGATGGGGCGCAGACCTACTCACATCAAGTCACACACAGGTCCCCACAGCCACAGTTCCCTCCCCTTCCTCCCACAAGCACCTGACATAGGGTTCCCTCACTTAGGTCCCACAGACCCCCCAGTGCAGCCCAGCACCCACACGAAGTTTTTTGACCTTATGTCCCATGTCACTTCTTTGACTTTACATACTAATGAGCTGTTATAATAGGTGTTTTTGTAAGCTGTTAGGAACAACTGCTTTAGTTCTGCCTTTTTCAACTCATTGAGTCAGGATCCACCTCTGAGTCAGTACTGTGTCCCCCACAGCAGGTCATGTATTGTTAGTGATCAACAATATGTTCAACTGCACGCAGGAATCAAGACGATGTGCCAAGAACAAGGTCATGACAAGCTTCTGGTGTTTGGTGCAGGGCTCCCAGACTCTAAAAGACACCAGCGAACTTGCTGGTGAGCACAGCTCTGAACCCCACAAGCAGCTCAGGCTTGAGGTTTAGAATGACTGTGGAGTAGGTGCAGACCTTCTCATGGCTCGATCTGGTACCCCCTTTCCCTTCCCCACCCAATACTTTAGAATTTAGTGAAATTTAGGGGTTTATTCCTAACTACAGGAATGGGCCTAACCTATAGGCCAGCACTCTCCATAGGCTGAACTGGGGCCTGGGAGCTCCCATTGATTCTGAGGAATGCTAGCCCAGCTGCAGTCATGGCATTGTTGGCTATCAGTGTGTCCATCTGTCTAGCCCCAGATGTAGCAGTTTAGAGATCTCTGGGTCTGGCTGTCCCACGGAGTCTCTCTTTACTCCAAGGCAGGCACTCAGCCATCTGTGCTGCTGAACAACTCCTGCATGAGGGGGGTAGCAAAGGGATGTGTATCTTGGATGCGCAACAGCTGTTGGGTTTGCTGGGCATTGATGCTTCGTAGTTCAGTGAGGACAGCCATGATCTTCAGGAACAGAAACCTACAGGCATCCAGAGGAGAAGCTGGTGATGTGGCCCACCGCCTCCCTACCCCACCAGATTGGCCCTGTTCAGAGAGGATGCTTGAACTTCCTTCAGCCTAAACATGAGAAGGCAGAATAGCCTACTAGTACTTGAGGTGGAAGCTGTAATTACCCCATCCATGGACTTGAGTGCTTGTACACAAATACCTGAGTAGAAAATCTAGACCATATAGGTACCAAATGCATAGGTTAATTAGAAGGTACGGGGAATCATTGTTTTGGTTAATGTCTTGGGGCCAGGACCGAGAGTAGTCACTATGACTAGGACCTTCAAGCTGGAATCCTTTCCTAGTTCTAGCTCTGGATCAAGTTTCTAACATACCACTTACCTTGGTTTCTCCAAGAAAGCTAGCACCTCTAGCCTCCTTAAAGGGGGAAGGGAACTGAACAAATAAAGATAAAACCATCCCCCATCATCCCAGGATGCTGAACCAAAAATAAAGTGGGCAGAGGACAAGTGAGGATTTGAAGCTTCAAGTTGACACTATAATACTCATACCCAAGGCTTATTTCAATCTAGGTTTGTTCTCGTCCTCAGACCCATGGGCATCAGACTGGGCATTAGGACAAAGGAATCAGAGGACCGGTGAAGGTGTGGATGCCCCTATCAGTGCCAAGCCCTCAGCAGTCTTCTTGAGTGACAGACAGAACAAAATGATTTTCCTACCCCTTGCATGTTTGTGTTCTTCTTGGGAAAGTCATAGGTTATGCTCAAGAGCTTGAGCTTTGAATGTCTGGCCACCAGGCTCACCAGGTAGAATCCTGGACAATTGCCCTGAACCTCAACTCCCTTGAAAGATGGTGGTGTTACCTGCCTCAGGGGACTGTTTTGAGGGTTAAAGGTGATAATGCACATAATGGCTTGGTCCCAGGGCTGGCACATCCCAATAAATGGTAGTAGCTATTATAGATTAATTGACTGCCATTATGATTGATATCATTATCTTTATAGTTACTATAGTTATTATTAGCCTTTGCTAGAAGACTCTGTAAGAGACAGGGCAGTATCTGGTTCCTCCCCATACCTTGATGATAAAAATCTGGGAAGCCCTGGGCAGACAAATGTCCCTCAGCTGGGCCCAGGCATGAGGCCTTAATGGAAGTCACAGAACACAGTCCCAGAGCCTTGATCATCAGAGACTGCCCCAGGCACGGCAGTGACCTGAGGGTCAGGCTAAAAGTGAGGCCAAACAACAGGAGGGGCCCCCTTATATCCTTTGTATCTACCCCTCTCTGTTCATACTCACCTATTGGTGGGATATGGCCTGCTGCACTCAGTGTAAGCCTTCAAGGTAAGGGCAAATCGCTCCTGCAGCTGGTCTACCACATTGCGCTGTACCACACCAGGGCGGTCTGAGGGGAAGGGAAGGAATTGTGGTAGCAGTCAGAGGAGAGAAAATCAAAGACAAGCAGGGTAGCTTAGGGTAGGAGAATTGCTGGCCAATCACCTCCAGAGCCAAGCTCAACCAGGCAGGGCAGGGAGGGAGGACTAGGCCTCTGCATTATCCCACCAACCAAGGAAAAAATGCTCTGGCTGTACAGCGAGTGGGGAGCAAGGCTGATGGCTGGGACCTTCCCTGAGGAGAACAGAAGAGACTACAGCCTCCTGCTGATAACTGGTGTGTGCTATCACCTGGGGAAAAGAGAGAGATGGCCTGCATCAGTACGTATTCCTCCTTATGCAGTTTCAGCTTCTTCAACATGAAGTGAAATTTCATCAACGGATCCAGTAGAAGTTTCTGAAAGCCACCTGTGAGTGGGTATGGGATAGAGAGGTAACACCTCAGGGAGCTAACCTAAGAACCCAGTCTTCCCTCACCAAACTTTCATTCTGTCACCCAATTTCCCTCAATTGTGGCCCCCACCACCACATCCCTCCCTCTGCCAGGGCAACTAGGCGTCTCTTGGGCACCATCAGGGTCTTCGAAGCAGTAGGCCAGCCGACCACACTCCCAGGTCCCAGTCTCTGTGTTGAACATCGTATTGAACCTCAGGAGGCACATCTCAAAGGTGGCCCCCTTCAGTAGGGAGATCTGGTCCTCGATGGGCAGGTCCCTGGCAGCAAGGACAGGAGAGGATGACAGCTCCTAGGGAGGCTTCGCACAAGCTAGCATCAGTCCCCATCCCATAATCCAGAAGCTGAAGGAGGACGGGGGAGCAACGGAATGGACTTCTTCTCTTGAGGACAATTGTGGCTGCCTCCTGGTTGCCTCCAGTGTCTCTCCTTCATAATCCAGGCCAGCAGGTGACTTTCCCCACCATGGTCTTCTCTCCCACTGCCTTCAGGAGCTCTCTACTGCCCACTTAGCTTTGTGTCTGAGTCCCTTATAACCTGATTCATCTCTTCAAACTCCCTACACAGCTACTGACCAACATGTGATGCTTTGGCTCTGCCTTTTTAGCTTCATAACCTTTTGCCTCAGTTTGCCCACCTAGAATGATTGCCCATTAGCTTCATTTAAGTATATCCTGATGAGTTTTCAAGCCAAGTGCTGTCTTTTCCCTTCTCAGAAGTTTCTCTAGCTCTAGTCTTTTTAAATATGACATGCCTTGCATACATGTTTCTACTGTTCCTTTCTAGTACTGAAGGCTTTGTGCTCTACTCCTAGCACATGCTTTCTGCCTACCAATGAAATTTGTGATTTTGCCCCTCTTGACCAGTCTTGGCAAGGCAAAGTGGACAAGCCAGGGGCAAATCCACCTTGTATTACCTCTAGCACTGCAGACTATATCTTACAGAGCTTTCTAGGTCTCCTGCTGACAGCATTTATCATGAGTGTTGCCTCCAGACCCAGTTCTGAGGAGACCTGGTCTGTTGGATTTCAGGACCACCCATCCTCCCCATGGCCTGCTTGATGACAGACAGCTGGAGGCCTAGCATCTGTTTTTCTTCTCTCTACAGACTTTCTTCTTTTCTCTCCAACTCATCCTTTACTCTGAAAATGGCAAGTTATGGTTCCTGACCTTATGAGGGAAATAGAGATCTGAATATCCAGCATGTACTGAAGGTTCTTCAGATGTTTTCTTATTTCATACACCAGCCCTACTAAATTGATAGGATTAGCTCCTGTTCCCAGATGGGGAGGCTGGCAATCCCATAGCCACAAAGCCAATGACTTGTACACGTAGGGCTTTATTCCCCAGTAGGACTGGTGCCCCAGGGGCAAAGATAACAAAGGGTCTTTTGACACCAACATCTCCCAAGTTCATGGGGATTTACCACAGATTATTTGAAATTTCTGGCCCTTTCCTTTTCCTTTCCACATCTGTTCAATCAGCCCTCACAGCCTACCTGAAGTAGGAGATGACTTTGGCAAAGTTGATGACGCCTTTGAACATGTAGGTTGACACATCAGCCAGATGGGGCAGCAGTGGAATGATCTCTTTCCCATCCCTTTTGTATGGGGGTTGGTAGTTCCAGATACTGCCGTCTTCCCCCCGCAACTGCAGAGAGATCTTCATAGGAATCACGTCTTTCATGAGTTGGCTCCATGTAGCAGGATCTTCTGAGAGTGAGGCCTGCAGAAACCCTGGAAGCTCATAGCCACTGTTAAACACCGCTGGTAGCTAGGATAGATGGCAGGAGGCAAAGAGAGGAGAGGCAGCATGTTGTCACAGGTCCACACAAGGACCCCAGACAGCCAGCTGCAGTGTGAGGTGCACAATCACAGGTACACACACTTGAGTGAACCCACATACACACATAGCCCGTGTTTTTGCTCTCTGGGTAACTGCTAACAGGTTGTGTTTTCTGGACCTACAGTAATGGTCACATGCATTCCCTGCCTGATCAGTCAAGAGGGTGAGATGGGCTTCCTTCCTTGCACCTCTCAGTGGGGTCGGAGTTTGGGAGCCAAAAATGGAAAGCACATGCTAAGATCCCTGGGACAGTTTCTCTTTACTGGGCAGGCCACCTGAGCTACTTTCAACCAGGCTGGAGTGGCAAGCGGGGAAACACTGCCAGCAGAGAAAAATTAGCAAACACCCATTCTGGCCCTGATTCTGACCTCATAATTTCCCACTGTCAGCAATAGGCCCCCACTTATTCCTAGACCCAGTCCTACCTGCTGCTGAGAGAAAGTAGATTCTCGGACCTGAGTCCCTGTGGAGTCACCAGGGGCCTTCCCCATCCCAGAGTTTGGGATTAGGAAGAGGTTGCTTCAGAGTTTGCATTTCTAGCAAGTTCCCAGGGGATATTGATGCCTCTGCCTCCAAGACCTCAGTGTGGGAAGCTCTGGGAAGGTGACTGGGGCTTTGAGGTGCTGAAAAAGCAGGGGAGGGAGCCCTAAGCCTCCTACCCGGAAATCCTTGAAATGGGAGAAAGTGGTGTCAAAGGTTTTCATCTGAGCATCCATCAGCTCCTGGATCAGCCCCCGCTGCTCTTCAGTCAGCCCCTGCCCCTCAGGCAGTGGAGCCTCAATCCTCTCCTTCCTCTTCCTCTTGATCAAGGCCCGCCTCTGCTCCACGGCCGCGTCAGACATGATCACTGCGGGTTAATAAAGTGTAGGTGCCCCTGCAAGGTCATCATCCTCTAACCTGGTTACGGCACCAGGAGGACAATTATGAAGAGGACCAAAGGCATCCTGCAGAGAGCGCTGAGAGGTAAGAAGGGGCACATCTCTGGCAGCATCTCCTACCACAGCTCCCACAACAGGGAACAGATGCCCTGCATCTCCCAAGTCTGCCTTCCAGGTGGTCACCTCCGCCCTGGTACCCACGCTGACAACTCCTATAGAGCCGCGGGCTGGGCTGCGGGGACCCAGTGGCCTGCCCTGCCACTCACTCTCCTTCTTCATGCCGCTGTCCAGACACTTGCGCAGGCGGCAGGCCTGGCACTGCCGCCGCGTCTTCCGGGTTATCTCGCAGGTCCCTTTGCGGAACGGGCACCTCAACCGGACATTGCGCTTCATGGCTCTCCTGGGGAACAAGACACACTGCTTAAGGCAGTCAGCGAGGGGCGCTCGGATCCCAGGCCAGGCGCTTCAGGCCACACCATCTGTGCAGCATAGTTCCCCGCAGCCCCCAGTACACTAGGGATTTTATAGGAAAGGTGTAGGTTAGTGCTGTACCCTAGAGGTCCAAGACAGAGGAACAGAGGAGATTTCTGAGAGGTTTCTACAGAAAATGGGACTGGTGTTTTTCAGACACCTGTGTGTAGCCCCAGAGCATTTGTAGACCTATTCAACTCCAGGCTCCAGTACCTGCTGTCCTCTTTCATACACTTGTTGCTAGCTAGGCAATGTCCATGGAAATGGGTCTCTCTGGATTTCTCTTGGAAGAGTGAGCCAGAGGAAACCTGACCGCAACAGCAGCATCAGACACATGCAGGGCCCTTCCATTCTCCAGGTTTTCTTCTAGATTAGGGGCCAGGACCTGGGGGTTCTCTTGATTGTCCTATGGGCCAAGAGGTTAGGAACTCTGTAGAGAGGGGCCCAGGAAGGCTCTGCAGCAGCTTCTGTGTTTTGGTCAGTTGAGTGTTACCAGAGTGAAGGGTCACAGGCCTCTACATAGCCCAAACAGCAGGGAGGCAGTCTGTGAGGCCCTTTGAAGACTTTAGCACATTACCCCCTCCCCACAGCCTGGCCATCCTGAGTTTCCCATCAAAAACCCTCTCAGTGATGCCGGGCTTTGTTTCCCTGCCTTTCCACAGCTGGATGATTCAAATCATCCCTTGGTTCCAGTCCTCTGTTCTGTCCAACTGTGTCGGAAGTGAGGGAAACTGGTTTGGAATCATGGGAATAGACAAAAGGGCTGCTAGGATGCCTGGGCCAGAAAGGCTGAGTCAAGCTCTGTAACTGGCAGGCTTGAACTCAGAAGCCTGAGGTCTCAGGCCAGGCATCAGCCTAGGGGCATGTTCATGAGTTTCACACCTTCACCTTTGCCTTCCCTGCTGACCCAGGTAAAAGGCCCCTGACTACCCCAATATGTACCCAGAATGGATAAAGGGGGCAGGATACTTTGCATGACTTTGCAAACTTGGTTTTCAAAATCCTATGAAATTCATCTTTCACCTCCCCGGCACAGTGAAGGACACTAAGGCTTTGAGAAGCTGGATTAGTATCTGCCCTCCAGGTAAGTGACAGGCTGAAGTTTGAGTCTATGTCTGACTGATAAGGAAGTCAAGCTCCCACCCATTGCCTTGCCTCCCTCCAGGTATCCCCAAATAGTAATCTACCCAAGGCAATCTACACAGAAGCTGCCTTGATTGGTGCTCTGACTGGCCTCTTCTGTGCTGGAAGAATCCTGATGTGGTTCAAATGCCCACTGGCTCAATGTGGGGCCATGTGGTATATGCCCAGCTTGGTAATGTATTTGGTGCTGTTTGCTAGTTACTGGTTCAGGAGTAGGCTGGAGCCAGCTCAAGCCTGTATAATGAATGTGATGGAACAGGTTCTTTAGCTGAACATCCTCGTTACTGTCTGGGGTCTCTGGCAAGTGGAGCTTCACTGGAATTGGAGCTCTCCAGTAAGCTGGCTGAAGAGAAAAATGCACAGACCCACCAACTCAGAAGACTTTGGACTTACTGTTTCAGTTGGTCACACCATTTCTTTATGTTCCACTAGCTGAGTCAAGTACTCTGTGACTTGTTGCTGAACATGGCCTGACACTGCTGGTGTGTGTCACCACATTATAATCCATACAGTGAGTGTTTATTTCTCCCTTTATCATGGTGCCTTTGGACCTACCCTGTGTAGAATTGACCCTATGTGACCTGAGAATGGCTCCAGAATGCCCACATCCGTCCCAAGACCATAGAGTCTTTTCTGGGGACACAGAACTGGGCACAATACAAAGATTGCTTCAATACCTTTTTGAAGTCATCAAGGACTATAAGTCTTCCTATGAATTCTGGTGATAAATAGCTGAGTGCCCCCCCAACCAGCACCCCATCTATGGGGTTGCAGAGTGGGGCCTTGGCTTGAACTTTCATTTCCATTCAAAAGACCAGTCACTAGGAAGAACTCTGAAAAAAAAACTCCAGGTTAGCCTAGAACATTTCCTCCAGGGGGGTCGGAGTGGAGGAGAGGAGAGGCTCCTAAGATTCAGTAAGCTCACAAAACTTACAAGATTCAGGAGAATCACCCTCCCCAAAGTTATATAAGAGGTGAGCAATTGCTGGCAGAGAGGAGAGTCTTCTGTGGGGCCAACTGCAAATTGTACAGAGAAACTTCAGTGATTTTGCATTCATGAGTCACTACTTTTTTTTTTTTTTTTTTTTGTCTTTTTGAGACAGGGTCTTCCTGTAGCCCCAGTTGGCTTGGAACTCACGATGTAGACCAGGCTGGCCACGAACTCACAGAGATCCACCTGCCTCTGCCTCCCAGGTGCTGGGTTAAAGGCGTGCACCATCACACCGGCTTTAGAGTAGGACTTTTCAATGATGCATCTGCCCAAGTCACCTCTGCTCCTGTAATTAACCCCTCACCCATGCTCCTATAAGCATCTCCAATAAATTCACCAAGCTAGACGGAATCATTTCTTTGATCTGTCACCACTGTCCTATCTGGGGTGGATAGTTTGTTCATGTCTCCCCAGGAAAAATTATACAACATAATTAGTATTTGAAGAGGGACTGACAGAACTAAAGATGTGTTAGGGAAAAGCAATTTCATGGCCCCTGCTAGGGATGATAAAACATGCAGCTAGCTACTGTTGATCTGTCTGAGAGTGGAGTATCTGTGACAGCAATTCTCATATGGCTGACTTTCCCTATTAGTATGGGAGGGCATACCTCCTTGCTTTAGTGGGAGTTGAATGCCCCTTCTATAGGTGATAAAACATGCAACTGAAGCTGAGTCATCTCTTGAGTATCCTTGGGGGAATCTCAGGGTGACCATTTTCCCCTTTATGGTAGAGAGTGGTATACCGCCATAGTAATAGGGGTCTACCCAACACAAGTATGGGGATGTGCTCCCAAGAAATGATGGACTATAGAACACATTGCAAAATTTGCCCATATAAGGAAGTAATTATAATGGGAAAGATATGCAGGTGCTACCCTCCATGTAGTCTCTGATGTGACAAAAAAAGTGGAAAAAGAAAGGCTGATGGGGAGGTCTGCCTTGCTATTTCTTATAGCTGGCAGGACATAAGTGAAAGAAAAGAGCCCTTCCTGGATCCAGAACTTAGAACCCATGAGAAGTAGTGGACAGTGAAGAGGAAGAGGAGAGCAAGGCAGGAGTGAAAGATGGCGTTCCTCAACCTTTAACACAGAGGAAGAAAGGAAATCCATGATTCAGCACTAGACAGAGGTCTTAATAGTGGCCCAGTACAGGGATCGTGATAATCAGGACATACACTGCCTCTGTGTGCTTGAATTTGGAAAGACTTTTTTTTTTTTTTTACTTTTATTATTTTTACGTGTATGTATGTATTGCCTGCATGTAGGTAAGTGCACCCATGTTGGGCAATGCCTGAGGAGATCAGAAGAGGCTGTAGGATCCCCTGGGACTGAAGTTACAGACAGTTGTTAGCTGCCATGTGGGTGCTGGGATTCGAACCCGAGTCTTCTGCAAGAAAAACCAGTGTTATTAACCTCTGAGCCATCTCTCCAGCCCCAAATTTGGAAAGACTTTTAAACAAGAAATGAAAGTGCCTCTCACAGCCTGGCTCATGAGGCTGTGGAACAGGTGAGTGACTGGGATCTGCCAAGTGTGGTGGAAGCTGAGAAACTGAGTGATGTAGCTACCCCTCCTCTGAGGCAAAGGCTGTATAACCTGAGGGTTATAAGGGAGATCAGTCCCTGAGGGACTACTGGTTCATCTCAGTCATTAGAGACACTTGGTCATCATCTGCAGAAGTCCCCATGAATATCAGGACTGAAAGACAACAGAGGAAAGACAGGGATTACTGAGGGAATTAGGCATGAGAGAGGCAGAGTTTGAAGCCCAGTTCCGAGGGTGGGATAGGAATGTGTTGACAGGAGAGTCAAGAAAGGAGCTTATTAAGGAGTTAATGCAGGAGGCTGAAGAGATGGCTCAGTGGGTTAAGAGCATTGGTTGCTCTTGCAGAGGACCTGGGTTCAGTTCCCAGTACCCACATAGTGGCTAACAACCATGTTACTCCAGTTTCAGGGGATCCCACTCTCCTCACCTCCAGGGACATTGCAAGAACATGGTACACTTAAAAAGCATGCAAGCCAAACACCCATACACATAAAATAAAAATTAATTAATTTTAAAAAAAGTTAATTCAGCAAGGACCTCAGGGTTGGCATGGGGCTTTGGTGACTTTGCTGTGCCATGATGGATCTTTATGAGTCAGGAGAGGCTTTGATGGATCTGAATTACTTAGACTGTCATGTAAATAGGGTTTATTTTGTTTTATTTTGTTTTGTTTTTAGACAGGGTCTCCTTGTAGCCCCAACTGGCCTGGATATAATGGAGATCTGCCTGCCTCTACCTCTGAGTACTGGGATTAAAGGCATGGGCTACCACATCCAGCTTCTTTCTTTTTGTGTTTTTTTGGTTTTTGTTTATTTGTTTTTCATCTGGTTCTTAAGGTGCTAAAGAATTCATGAGGGAGGAAGGATGAAACTAAGGAAAGCAGACAGTAAGACCTGTCCTGGTCACTTGAAAGCAAATGTGAGTCCAGCCAGCATTCCTAGGGGGGAAAATGTCAGAAAGTAAAAGGCCATGCCTCATGGATTTCGAGGTTCTCTATTCATATGAGAAATACTTGTTTTTTATTGGATGCTATAGCTGTGTAAATCTTATTTCATGACACCTCCCCAAAGCACTGGGGATAGTGGGCAGCAGTGGATGGACACAGAGATAGGATGGTACAGGTGAAAAGGATTAAGCTTGTCCCAGGAGTGGGTTACTATCCTCCCTCACCCTCATAGTATATGCACTTCTCTCCTGATTGGGCAAGATAGGAGCCTGTAAAGTTGCCTACCCCGAGTAGGGATGTGAATATCAAACAGTGTAGATTCCATCAAGAAATTAGACAAGGTAAAGATTATTCTCCCTGCTCAACATTTTTTAACAGCCTGGTGTAGACTGTGAAGAAGCCAGTTTGTGAACTAAATAAGGTAGTCCATCAAACATTCATGCCACTGTACCCCTATGTTGCTCTTTATATATTTTTTTATTTTGTGTATATGAGTGTATTGTCTGCATGTGTGTAAGTGCACCCATGTCATGCAATAGAAGAAGGTGTCGGATCCCCTGGAACTGGAATCACAGATGGTTGTTAGCTGCCATGTGGATGCCGTGTCCTCTGGAAGAGCAGTCAGTGCTCTTAACTGCTAAGCTGTCTCTCCAGCCCATGTTGCTCTTTTTGATAGCACAACTGATACAAGTGATGGGATCTTTTCATACTATATTGCTAGTGCTTTTTTCAATTATTCCCTTAACTGCCGGATCTCAACACCAATTTGCATTCTATTGGAAGAGTCAGCAATGGACCTTTCAAACCTCCAAGGGTAACTTTACAGAACCACTGTTAGTCCTGGAATGGTAGCCCAGGACCTTGCTTTGTTATCCTGTCCACCTTCTGTTAATAAAAAAAGGTTCGTTAGATTATGTAGGTGATATACTGTTAACCTCTAAGTGTTTTTAAAGACTTAGAAAAGCATCTGAAAGATATACAAGTGTACTTAAAAGAATGAAACTGAGAAATCAGTTAGCATGAGATGCATGTGATAGATGACAGCAGTCTTGAGAAAATTCTACAACCTGTGTCTGTAAATGTAAAACAGATGCAGGTCTAAATGGCTTACTTGGACTAATTAGAAGGTCTTTCAGTGGGCCATTAACCAATACTATGAACCCAGAAATCAGATCAAGCTTTGAGACATCACCCAGTCAGCTAATATGGCACTCCAGACAGACATGACTGAGTGTGTCAATGTTACCAAGTGAGCGAAGATTGGTGGGTGATTATACCTGAAAAATCCCTTGCATCCTTCACATGTCATGACATTGAAGTGATAGCCATTGGCCTTGTCCCCACATACACGGCAGATTTGAGGATCTTCTTCATCTAAATTGATGATGGACTTTTCTGATACAGAATTTGCTTCTTCACAGTGCTCAGGGTTAACATGGCCCCAACTTTCTTCAGGTCTCATCTCCAAGTTTGCTTCTGGGTATCTTGGACTAGAATTGAAAAAACATAGGGAATGAAGGTGTGCTGGATAGCTTTAGTGTCAACTTGACACACCTGGGTTGAGGGAGCCTCAATTGGAGAATTGCCTTCATTGGACGGGCCTGTAGCCATGTCCATGGGACACCTGCTTGATTGTTGAGTGATGTGGAAGGGACCAACCCACTGTGGGTGGTGCCATTCCTGGCCAGGTGGGCCTGTGTTGCATAAGAAAGCAGGCTGAGCAGGGGCCAGGGGATCAAGCCAGTAAGCAGAGTTCCTCCATGACCTGTGCTCCAGCTCCAGATTCCTGCCCTGAGTTCCTACCTTGGGCTCCTGGATGAACTGTGACCCGGGATATGTAAGCTAAATCAACCCTTTCTTCCCCAAGTTGGTATTGGTCAGAGTGTTTTGTCACAGCAATGGAGAGACAAACGAGGACAGAAGGGTTTAGATAGAAAGTGGTTCGGATAGAAAGTGGTCTTCCTTTCAAGCAAGGCTCACATTTGGGTTTAAGACTGGACCCTCTTGAGAACTGACCTCCCATGGAAAAAAATTTAGGTGATATTACTATTAAGAAAGCTGTAACCATGACATTTTTATGCACAGTAGAGGACTAGATAGAGCATGTGAACAAGAACATGAGAACTAAAAGGATATCGAGGGTGGAGGAAATGTGAAAACAAGAAGCTGTGTGAACTGGATCATGCAGGCACTGCTTGAGCAGATTGAGGAGGTCAAGAACTGGTCAAAGGGTGGAAAACTTATTACTGCTCATGGGAAAGACTAACATTCATGATTGCTTCTGGGCCTGGGGAGATCTTGGGAGGTTGATCTTTTAGGTGCAGTGTGGCTCAGGATCCCAGAGAAAGTTGAAAACGTTGAGCAAAGAAAGGGTTTCCAATGGGATAACCAAGCAGATAGGGAGCATGTTACCATAGCAATAGATGCTCTGTAAAGAGAAACTCTTGGTCAAGAAAATAGAGTCTCTGGCCTGGGTGGAGATGTAACAGTCCAGTTGGGGTAAGTCAATTATCTGACTGAGGGGCCACCCCATGAAGACAAGCTCATCTTAAGCCACGTTAAAAAGAGAGTAATTAGTGCTCTCGTGAGGTATACTTTTCCTTCCCAGAATTCCTGTCCTAGCACAGTAGCTTACCAGGCCACAGCCATGTAGCCCGGGAAGTCTGCCCACTTTCCTGAATTCTTCAAAAAAGCATAACCTCTTCTTTTTTTTAATATCTTTTCTAAGCATGCCTTCCCTAATAGTTCGAGCTGTTCCAATATTTTGGGATTCTTTACTCTTTCTTTAAAGCTCACCTCCCCATCATGTGGATGCTATAGTTCCCCACATGTCTGACCTCCATGCTGGCTTTAAAATAGCTTGGGTTTTGTTTTTGATTTCTTCTTTTTCTCCTCCATCCTCCTCCTCAAGGCAGCTGCTGACATTTACAGGTTCCCTACCCTGGAGGTTTTTTTGTACAATGCCTGCGGAGGCCAGAAGAGAGCGTTGTACATATGCATTGTCCTTCAGCTTCCATTTAAGTCCATTCTTAGATTATTTTATTAATGAGACTAAGAACCCTAAGGGAATCCATTTTCCCCAGTATCAATATTAAGTCTGCACCCTCCAGGGAGAATTTTAGCTAAGTAGTCTTTTGTAAACATCTAATTATTTATCTAAAAGTGTACTTTGCATCAATATAATTGCTTTTATGTCATTTTGTATCTAAAGCAGCAAGGACAGAGTTTACTAGAGTTCCTGAAAATAACTGAGCAGCAAATGTCTGGTTGCGTCAATTAAAAAGAAGAACTGAGGAGCTGTTGACAGTTGCTGGCTGCTAGGGGAAGGACAGTCAGTTTTATTCAGGGATGTACCCCCTGCTTAGCTGCCCATGCTCCAGTGATGGTCCTACACCTGGGCACATACTAGCAGAACTAATTGGACTCAGTGGGTTATAGAAAAAAAAAAAGGCCATGAAGTTGGGACGGGGACAGCATTGAAGGAGGAAATATGGGAGGAGTTGAAGGAGGGGAGAGAGGAAAGGATTTGATAAAAATACATTAGAAGGGGAGAGGGTGGGTTCCAACCTCCTTCAGTGTAGTGGCTCTGATCTCAGCAGACTGCCAGAGAGTGCCAAGTTCTGGCTAAGAATGCAGGGGACTGCCTGAGAGCACCCAGATCCTGTCTCTACATGGTGAAGGATGCCTGACTGTACCTAACTGGAACCTGAATTGGGCTTCTGTGGGTACCCCTGAATAGCTGATCTGAAGCCATCAGTTCCCTCTAAATTAAACCTGAGAGAACCTCAAACCTATACCAAGCAGCTTTACATAACCAATAAAGAAAGGATCTAGGCACCTGGATAATACAAACATAAACATACTTAAATTTAATTCCCATATCAAAATCTACAAAAGAAATTCACATGTCAAAATCACAGAGAAAAAATAATAACATGATAAACCAAAATAACATATCCCCACCAAATACCAGTAATCCTCTAGAGGAGCACAATGAGAATCCCCTAGAGACAATGCAGGACATGGAACTCAAAAGAACAATGATGAATATGATAAAAGAATTCACTGAATTTAAAGAACACACAAACAAGGCAAACACAGAACTAAAAGAAGATAGGGATAAACTTCTGAATGCATTCACAAAAGAGATAGAAACATTGAAGGAAACAGGCAGAAATGAAGAAGGAAGTGCAAAACTCAATAAGCCAACTTAAAACAACAGGGGAAAGTCTCACCGCTAGAGTGAAGGAAATGGAAAACAGACTATCAACACTGGAGGATAAAGCTGAAGAATTGGACCACTTGAGCAAAGATTATGGAAAAATTTTAAAAATACAGGAATGGAATATGGAAGAGATGTGGGACACCATGAAAAGACCAAATCTGTGGATCATAGGAATAGAGGAAGAAGAATTTCAGGTTAATGGTGTTGACCAGATCTTAAAAAGGATTGTAGAAAAGAATTTCCAGAAATTAAGGAAAGACACCCCTATACAAATACAGGAAGGACATAGAACATCAAATAGACAGGATCAGAAAAGAAACTCCCCACAACATATCATAGTAAAAACATTAAATATACAGAACAAAGAGAATACTGAAAGCAGCAAAAGAAAAACAACAAGTCACCTATAAAGGAGAGCCCACCAGAATTACAGCTGACTTATCAGTGCAAACTATGAAAGCCAGAAGAACCTGGATCAGGTATTTCCAGTTCTACATGACAATAGATGCCAGCCCAGAATACTTTACCAAGCAAAAATGTCTATTATAGTTGAGGGGGAAAGAAAAATCTTCCATGACATGAAAGGCCTGAAAGAATACTTGTCTACAAAATCAGCCTTCAAAGAATACTTGAAGCAATACAGAGAGCGGAGAAAAACAACTATACCCCAGGGGCAACAAAAGAAAATAAATAAAGGTATAATCAAGGAAACAAAATTAGAAACACAAAGAGCAATTAAAATGGTGGCAACTAATACACATCTTTCAATAATAACCTTAAATACCAATGGACTGAACTCCGCAGTCAAAAGACACAGGCTAAGTGAATGGATTAAGAAACAAAATCCGGGGCTGGAGAGATGGCTCAGAGTTAAGAACACTGGTTGTTCTTGCAGAGACCCGGGTTGGAATCCCAGCACCCACATGGCAGCTAACAACAGTCCATAACTCTAGTTCCAGGGGATCCCACAGCCTCTTCTGTCTTCTCAGGGCATTGCATGACATGGGTGTACTTATCTACATGTACGCAATATATGCATATATATATATAAAATAAAAATAAAATATTTTAAAAAAAGAAACAAAATCCATCTCTTTGCTGTCTGCAAGAAACCCATCTCACCTTCAAGGACAGGCACTACCTTAAGGTAACAGAATGAAAAAGAATCTTCCAAGCAAATAGCACTAAGAAACAAGCAGGGGTTGCAATTCTAATGTCTGACAAAATAGACTTCAAAGTAAAACTAATTAGATGAGATAAGTAGGGTTACTTCATTCTGATCAAAGGAACAGTTAACCAAGAAGATATTACAATCTTTAACATATTTGCACCAAACTCTGGTGCACTCAAATTCATAAAAACAATACTACAGGCTTTAAGACACAGATTAATCCCAACTCAGTAATAGTAGGGGACTTCAACACCCTACTGTCTCCATTAGACAGGTCAACTGGACAAAGAATAAACAGAGAGACATCTGAATTAAATGATACCATACACCAAATGGACCTAACAGACATCTTTCAAATATTCCACCCAAGCATCAAAGAATACACTTTCTACTCAGCACCCCATGGAACTTTTTAAAAAATTGACCACATACTGGGCCACAAAACAAACTTTAGCGAATATAAAAAAAATGGAAATAATTCCATGCATTCTATCAGACCACAATGAAATAAAGCTCAAAATCAACACTTGACAAAGCCCTAGTCATTACACGAACTCGTGATTAAACAACACACTCCTAAACAATGAGTGGGTCAAAGGAGAAATTAAGTAAGAAATAAAAGAACTCCTGGAATTCAACGAAAAGGACACTACAACACAGCATAACCTCTGGGACACATTAAAAGCAGTCCTAAGAGGGAAGTTTATAGCTCTAAGTGCCTACATTAAAAAATTAGAAAGAGCCCAAATAAATGACCTAACACTACAACTCAAGACACTGGAAAGGCAAGAACAAATGAAACCCAAACCCAGCAGAAGAGAAGAAATAACAAAAATCAGAGCAGAAATTAATGAAATAGAAGAAAGCAATACAAAGAATCAATGAATCTAAGAGCTGTTTCTTTGGAAAGCTAAACAAGATAGACAGACCCTTACCTAGTTAACCAAGAGAAAGAGCAAATCCAAATCAACAAAATCAGAGATGAAAGAGGAAACATCACAACAGACACCCAAGAGATTAAAACCATTATAAGAGAATATTTTAAAAACCTATACACTACTAAATCTGAAAATCTGAAAGAAGTGGATGGATAT